TAAGAAATCACGGACCATGGAGCGCCAAATCGAGGGACTCGAGGCTTCGGAGGCGTCGCTGAAGGAGACTATCCTTGCGCTTCAGGCCGAGAACAAGGCGCTGAAGCCGTCGAGATCTGTGGAGAATGTCCGCGCTTCGAGCTCGAGGACGGCTCCTGCTTTTGCGAGATATGATGGGAAGAAGGAGACCAAAGCACTCGATTACGATTTTGATGAGGACGACGAAGAAGATGTCTGGCCGCCAAGGGAAGACTCGCTCTACCACCCCGGCATATCTCCTTCCCCTGGCCACAGTCATCTCGGCGCCAGACCAGCCACCGCACATCCGACCTCAGCAATGGACGCAGGCCTCAACGTCAAACCCTACCGCGTTCTCGGCTCAGAAGCAGCAGTCGGACGGTGCGAGACGGCGAATGCGGAGACCAAGGCCAGGCTGTGGGATCTTTGGGAGGCGCAGAGGAGAGGCCGCCATGGGTATTCGAGGGAGAATAGCCACAGGGGGAAGGTGGAGGAGAGGCCGAGGATTAGGAGGAAGTTGACTAAGCCGATGCCTGAGCCTAAGGGGGAGGTGCCGTCGGGGAGGAAGGGGAGTTGGCGGTTTGGGTTGGGTGGGTTGAGGCAGTTTGTTTAGGGGTTCGGGGGTGTATGGACGAGAGTTGGGTGGGAAAGATGTTGGAAGTAATGTTGTGTCTCTTTTTGTGTTGATAAGGGGGAACGAACTGTCTTGTCTCGTGTCTCTTGACCGATGTTTTCGTTTGTTTCTGAGAATTTGGCATTTGAGCGGGTACGGTATATGTGTGGGTTGGGTTCTGCAATGATCATGGTATTCGATGGGATGTGTTTCTGTGGCAGATGGATGGGATGGGGTGTTTGCATAGCAATGGGAGTTGTATGGCATAATCAGTATCTGCACAGTCTAGGAAGATGTAAGCGGTTGTCTATGAAATTCCTGAAGATTTCTTGACTGCATTCTCTTTAGGTGAACCCAATTCATTTTGATGAAGATATCGAGATCCCCTTAGTCATCGGGTACCACATCTCTGACTGTATAATCTGATAGGCTCGGCAATCGGGAGTGGCACCAGATGCTCGCTGCATGTTTCTCCTGTGTTGTCGTGTCTTGTACTCTATCATGTACCTACCAGCGGATCCATCGTGTTCTTGTGCGGGGGTTGTGGAACGTAGATCTGGAAGGTGGATATCGTTGAAGGATGGGGAATAGTATATCCATCTTTCACAGAGACTCGCTTCTCTAGAGGACTCGATCACGATGGAAGACATGGGAGAAGTACCTGTCTCTACCTTAGTGATGATCATGCCTCAAGTACCTCTCCCACTACAGAAGTGGAGTATGGTATTCTACTCCGCAGAAGGTATTCCCATCAATCAACCCTCCGCTCGCACAGACATGCAAGATCTGATATCAGCGCCATTCCCCAAGCATAAAAAGCGGCATATGAGATTATATTTCCTCGTGCTCACCGTGGCCTCTCGCTGTCTCGCTGGCTCCAGTCAACGCCCCGCGCTCACGCTCCCTCGTAGGGCTGACAACCCTCCCTCTCCCCACGCGCTCGCTCTCATTTGATGATCCAATTCACCGCACACCCACTTTTACCTTCTCCATCACCTCGCCCCTTTTTTCCTCCCCGTCATATTCCCCTGAATACCATGACCTCAAGGCCTGAGTCGACCGTTTAGCCTGAGGCTTTTACTGCGAGTTTCTCGACAGCCGGATAGGATAGAGTAGAGGAGTGGAGGGCAGAAACTCGATCATCACACTATGGCCCCACCGCCGACACCTCGCACGCCGTTCAACCCTATTATATGCATTGTTGGATTTCACCACGCGAGGTATGTCTCCCAGCGCTGTCGAGTGGAATAAGAACGGGATCTGGAAACAACGCTGTCCATGATCCCATGAAGGGAGGCATTCATTCAGAGAGAGGCTAACGAGGGATCGATAACCACCAGGGGACCGGAGGTGGAAACATGGCTCGGTGTCGAGGACGGCGAGGACCCGGCCGTCGATAACGATTGGAGTCTTTTGCCGTTTATGGCCCTGTCGGATGGGGCGCATGCGTATGTTTGATTTCCAGTTTATCATCTCAATCTCCCATAAACACCTACAACTTTCCTTCTCCTGTCCTCCCTACGCCCCTTTCGCGAAATAGACCCTCCCCCAACTAAGTATACAGCTCGACTGACCATGGTATAGTGCTACGGAAGACTTCTCCTACTTCTCCCTCCGCCAGGAAGCCGTCCCCGACCTCTCCCGCGCCCCGACGAGTCTCTTCGGAATCAGCTGTACGCGCCAGCTCGACGCGAACGATTTGATCAACCGCCCCGCTGAGGTTACAAGAAGTACGGTTCAAAAAGCTGTCGTGGTCGTGTGTGACAGCCCGTATCATTTTGGGCAGTTGAAGGAGAAGCTGAGCATTGTTACAAGGGCGTGGTTTGCACAAAGGTATGTCTCGGGGATATCGTGAGGAGGAATACGACAACGAGAGAGGGAGGATTGTGTTGACGTGATGATCGTAGGGATTTCACGGATTTGGCGATTTTGAAGGTAAGGAGATATGGTTCTAAGAATTGGGGAGCGGTGTTGACAATAGGGGCAGGATTTTCAAGAAAGCCTTGCGAAGAGCTTTAAAGATCAAGAAGAGGAGCGAGATCAATACTTTGGTATGTGCAGTATATTCTTTGAGAGAATAAGAAGTACAGTGTATGACTAACGACACCAGGTCTCTCCCTCCGAGAATTTATCCACGAGTTCAAACACCAAACGCTAGTTCTGTTCAAATGTTGTCTTCTTCAACCAAAGGTACGAGGAGTCCCACTCTAGAATGATCTCTGTCTAACTGACCTCCAAAGATGCTCTTCTTCGGCTCGCATTGCGAGCGTCTCTGCATGATGCAATTTTCTTTGATTTCATTGATACCCGGTCTGATTCGCAATCTGCAAGATTGCGCCGACCCAGTTTTCAATTCTTATGAAGACGCGTTGGAAATGCCTACTTCTTTGCGCACTAGCGAGCGCGCTTCTTGTAGGTTGAAGTCTTCGATACTCGATGGCATTGGCTAATTCGTGTAGTGCTCGCGTATATGGGCTTGCCTCTGCAGATTTTCGGCAAGGTGAGTATCCCAGCGATGGTAGTGTTGTTTTTGCTCACAGATTGTACAGGGAAGCCTATTTGGACCTTATACTCCGTTGCAGCAACTCGATATGCTCGCCGATCGAGATACTAGGTCGTATGTTGTGGGGTCTACGAACTCTTTACTTCTTCAACAAAGGGATAGGTACAGTGATGTTTTGATCAATGTAAGTGTTTCGGGATAACCATCATCAATTTTTCAAATTCAATCGTATCTTGTTGCATTGATGTTTTTGTTCAGCGCAGATTAGCTAATTGTATGATAGCTGGACGAGGACACAATACAAATAACCTCCCCTTCTCTCCGGAACGCGCTCATCTTGAGTACGCCTGATCGAAGATGGATTGACTTTCTCACACAAGCTGTCAACGAGACATGGGACGACGGTAAGCAAGCCGTTTTAATAGCAAACCCGCAACTAACGCGGCCTCATAGCGAATCCAGGCCGACCGAAAACACTGGGCTATGTCGGCAGTGAAGAATTCATCCGGCTGCAGTTCGAAGAGTACCTCCTCGCACTACTCTCGGCGGTAAAATACCGACTCTACGTGAACAAGAACAAGCAGGACCCAAAGGCTCTTTTGACAGACATCGAAGGAGATCCCGCCGTTGAATTCGGCTCAGAATGGGTTGATGCGTGGACGAAGACAGAAAACTTCCGAATCTTCAACACCAACACCGACTCGCACCTCTTCGACATTGTCGAGCCATCGCATCCATGCACAGGCGGCCTCACCATAGACGACGTGCAGCGTCGTCTAGCTCAACAAGTCTCGGAACTTCATCTAGACGAGCGCTTCCAAAACGGCCGCGAAGTCATCGGAAAGCACCTCGCCACCGGCCAGAAAAAGGTCTCCTCCGCTTTCAACAACCTCTGGGCCGACATCGAAGTCATGCGCGAAGCCCAGCGCCAGAGACAGGAAGAACATAAAGCGAAAGTCGCCGCGGGACTCGAGGAACCAGGCTCGCCCCCTCCACGCAAAGGCCCCGATTTCTCGCAGGCCGGCGCCACGGTCACGGCTGCTGGGTCCAGGGCCGGCGCATATTTGTCCTCGTGGGGCTCGTGGGCTGCAGAGAAGAGGAGGACAGGGTGGAATCGCTCGTCGAGTGCCGCGACGACGCCCGTGTCTTCGCCGCCGCCGTCCGCGGGGCTGAAGCCGCTCGAGATGAGTAGGAGTGCTGGCGCGCCACCACCACTGGGGCCTGATGGGTTGAGGAGCTTCGAGTTGAGTAAATCTGTCAGTGCGCCTGAGAAAGACGTCAGCGCAGAGGCTGTGGGGAAGTAATGGTTGAGGGTTAGAGCGGACGAAGGGTAATGGTCGATGTGCAAGGGGGGAGAAATTTACGATCTTTTTCCTTGATGATTCTTTTTTCTTCTCGCTCGTTATTGGGCCTTTTTCGAGAGATTCCCAGATTGCATAGCGTGGTTTAGGACCGTGGAGTTCTTTCTGCCAAAGTTGCTTTATACGGCCGTGATGTGGGTGCATGTTGGTTACCTCCTTTCTCAACCTTGCGAGGGGGTTTGGTGGGTGTCTGCTGGACTCGCACAGTAGATTTAAAGAATCCAGTCACTGCATACGAACATCTGCTGTGGATTTGAGCTTGCTGTGTATATGCCTAACCTAAAGCCAGGTCTAACAACTCATCGTACCTGACACTCAGGTTACTTCGCACTATTGCTATAGGAAGGATGTTGCCTCAAAAACGCATCACTCCACTCTCCTCCCCCTCCCCCTCCACCTCCAAAGATCGAGACCATAAACCCACCCCACGCACCACCAACCCAAAAATCACCCCCCAAATCCTCACCCCCTCGGAAAAAAAAAAAAAAAAATCAAAAATTCCACATAGCTGAAAGCGGTTTCGATCCGCTGCCCTCCGGGTTATGAGCCCGGCGCGCTTCCGCTGCGCCATTCAGCTTTTTTCATGGAAGAATATTATTTACAAATTTTAGCAGACTTATAAAATAATCATTGCACGTGGCTGAATGCGGGGTGGGGTAAAGCTCGGAGGAGGGAGGAATGTTGGTCCGCTGTAGAAGCGAGGTGGGAGCACGTGATAGGAAGACTGAAAATGACAGGACAGGGTCAGGTGATTGGATTTTGGTTGGCAACACAGGCAACGTAAGGGACATTGAATCTGTGGTAGGAGATGGAAGGGTCCCTACAGAATATTGCCAAATTGACAATTACTAAGCCTCGCTTTTATCACAAGGTCTCCATGTAGGAAGGATATTCACGAGCAGACTACTAACCAGACGTGGAGCTTTCACCCAACAGAGCACGCAAGCGGAGGGACGGATGGACACGTAGGTTAAGAGGTGAGATAAGCTCGTATCATTTCCTCTCCAACTTATTCATTCGGCCGTGATATGCTATCTAGCCAACGCGAACGAGACAGCTGGAAGATAATCCCTCGCGAGATAACCGTAGGAATACCAAGATTTCCTATTCCTATTCCTACCCCATCTACCCTGCCAGAATCCGATTCCTTTGGAACCCCAAGATGAGTTTGTGTAGATAAAAGTGCCCTCTACTGACTAGTTTGAAGAGCCAAGGCCGTGAGATGAAGGATGAGATGATGAGGGGAGAGCTGGGAGTGGAGAAGTGTACCTAGGGAGAAAGAGATAGCTCAGAAGATCACGGGAAAAGCCCTTAAAAGATGGCCAAAAAGATTACTACTCCATTCCAACCTGGCCGTAGCGATCGATTGCAATCCGAAAAAAGATTTCTGGTATATGAACAAGATGAAAAATAAAGCAAGAAAAAATCGCCTTCGGCTGTCGTCGTGAGAAGCATTGTCGTCGTTCATCGTCGTCATTCCGCTCCAGAAGCAGGAACTGCTTTCAAAGCATCCTAGATAAATGAAAGACAACTCAAGTATAACTCCTCATGGCATCCATATACCCAGTCCCGCCCTTGAGGTCACGATCAAAGCTCTCCGCAACTTCGAGAACCCTCTTGATATGCTCGAGAGAGAGTGCCTGCTTCTCATTGACGGCAAGCGCCTGCGCCGTGCGGACGACATTTTTGATCTGCCGTCTCATGTCAGTACTCATGCTCGCCCAGTCAAATCAGATCTCCAACATACTTGTCGTCCATTGAGGTTGTTCCTTGCGAGCATGTCAAAATCAGTCTCCTTAAACGGCGCCGTCTCAACCTTCTCCATAACCCTGACCTTCTCCAGAAACATCTTCCAAATCTCCTTTTTGGCCTTTGGCGACAACTGCTCGTAGCGCAATGCGACATGGATACGGCTCTGGAAGGCGTCGTCGAAGGTCTCCACACGATTCGTCGTCAGGAACAAGATGCCCTGGAAGTACTCCAGCAGTCGCAGAAAGATGGACACGAGCGCGTTGCGGTGGATGTCGTGGACCTCACGCTTCTCGAGGAAGACGTCGGCTTCGTCGAGGAGGAGCACTGCGCCCCAGGAATGCGCAATGTCCATGATTTTCTGCAATTCATGTTCAAGACGCGATGTTTCGGTGCCAAGCTCGCCGGCGCTGACGGCGTAGAGAGGGCATTTCAGGAATTCGGCGATGCCTTCACCGGTGAGGGTTTTGCCGACGCCGGGCGGACCGTGGAGAACAAAGACGAGACCTTTGCCTTTGCCCTGCACTACGTCGTCGATGGTCTCGGCGGCGTGGAATTTGTGAGTCGACACCAAGGCCTGAACAATGGACTTTTGGTTGTGAGGAAGGACGAGGGACTCGAAAGCGCCGTTGTTCCATTCGATATCGCGGACGCCACTGAGTGAGAACTCCAACCAGAGTTTCTCGCTGAAGGAGAACCCAACGACAACGGGCGACGCAATAAGGAGCTCCTCATCGCTAAAGGACATGGTCTTGTGCTCGCCATCGATCTTGTCTAGATTCTCCTGGTGGACTTCCTGGCCATTCTCATCAACTGGGACCTCAACAAGACGTGGCTTGTCATCCTTGTCAAGAACAAGCTTGTATTTCGTCTTTTCGCCCTCGTCTTTCTCACCGTCCAAATCGCCATCGGGAGCATCATCTTCATCGCTACTACCACACCCGCAGGACGAGCAGCCGGACCCGTCGTCGTCATCAGAGAACAAATCATCCTGGTCCTTCGGTTTGATGGATGAGATGGGGTAGTTCGGGTTGATGCGTCTGAAAATCGCCGGATCAATCATGATGCGGCCATTGATGTTGACTTTAGCCACAGCCTTCTTCTTCTTCTGGAAGGCAAGGCCCTTGTGGAAGCGGTAGTTCATGCCCTGCATAGCCACGAACTGCCTACCACGTTCGATCAATTGCTTCCTGATACCCTCGGGATCCTTGTGGTACTTCATAGGGTAAGTCGACAAGCCGGTAATCTTGCGAGGTCCCTTGAAAGATTCAACCTGCATTTCAAAGTCGCCGAGACCGAAGTTCTTACCATCGTACTCGAGGTAGCGGCCTTCGATAGAATACCACTCACCCTTGATGAAGGAACTCTCCTTGTTCGCATAGTCGACTTTGAAACAGCGAGGGTCATCACTGGAGCCGTAAGTGGTGGTGTAAGCGAGTGAGTTCGGCTTGAACAGGGCCCAGAGCAAGTCAAAGGTGATATTTCCGGCTTCGAGGAGAGGGTAGAGGGTTTTCTTGGTCTCGTCGTAATCCTCGTCAATATAGCTGACGAGAACCTTGCAATGGGCTATCATCTGTTTCACGCGCTTCTGAACCTTCTTTTTCTTCTCCTTCTTCAAGCGAGATTTGAGAGTCTTCTTGTAGTGAGTGCGGATTTCTTCCAGGTAGAGAAAGAGCATGTTGGGGTCAACCTTTGCACGTCAGCAAATTCACGATCCACAAATCACATGTTCGACTTACACAAGGCTGCTCCTCCACAAGGGAGACGCCCTTGACGTCTTTCATGACCTCAGCAAGCGCCTCCTTGAGAAACTTGGACTTGATGTCGACCACAGTGTTCCGGTACTTGTTCTCCCAATCAAACTTTCGTCGGACTGTGAAAATGTACGCATCAAACTCATCCTCCTGGTCTTCAGCACTTTCAGTCAGCTTGTAATTGTGAATGGTGGAATCCCATAGCTGGTCAACGCGCTTGTACTCCAGCATGGACGCTCGTTTCCGCGGCTTCTCTGACTTTTCAGCCTTTGAAGATTTCCGCTTCGACTTCCGCGACTTCTTGGATGTTGTGTGTTCCTGCCCTTGCTCCTGGAGCTGCGCGGCGCGGGTACGAGCGGCGGTCGAGCGCTGCTGGGCTATGGAGAAGTGCAAGGCGTTGAGCTCTTCCTGAATGCGAGTAGCTTCAGCCTCGAGATCAACGGCAGGAGTGTCCTCCTCCTCTTCAGGCTCGGATTCGGTCACGACGGCACGGCGAGACTTTCGTCGACGCACGACCACCTCTGACTCATCTGAGTCGGTGTCTGAGTCTGAATCCGAGTCGGAGCTCGACGTCTCGTGGCGTTTCGACTTTTTGTGCTTCCGAGCTTTTGCCTTCTTTTTCAAAGCCTTTCGTTTGCTTCGCGCCTTACGCTTCTGCTTTTCATCTTCGCTTGACGACGACGACGAGTCGGAGGAGTCGGATTCGGAAGCGTCGCTTTCACTGTCGGAGCTGTCGGATGATTCCTCCTTCTTGGCCTTTTTGGATGACTTCTTCTTCTTCTGTGTGGACTTCTTGCAGCTCTTCTTCGACTTCTTCCCTGGCTTCGAGGCTGGACTTGCTTCTTTCCCCGTGTTGTCTGCTCCAGAAGACGACTGCTCGCCCTGCTTTACATCAACGTCTTCCTTGGACTTGTCTTCACGTGCGGTCTCCATCTTGTTCTTCAGCAATTGGTCGAGTTCAAGCTGGGAGGTAGAGGATCGTTGCGGAGTCTCGGAGGGGGTAGAGGAGGGTGTAAGGACGGTATCGGCTTGGCGAGGTGATGTTTTGGGAGAGGGACTTCTATTTGTCCTGGCCTGCTTGTTCATCGGAGGCTGATATAGCGGTCATGAGGGAGAGTAAACTAAAGCAAGCGCAACAAGCAAAAGGGAAGATGGCGCAGTGAGGAGTGAGCAATGATGAGCAGCGGGCAGATTGCACAGAAGCGGGCAGGCTGGAGGTTTTATGGCTACTTCCGGTGACAAGGCAGAAGTGGCAGAGTGGAGCTGGAGTGCAGGCCCAGGTATGTAGAGTAGAGTGGTGTTGGATTACTGGAGCAGTCTAGGGTGGTGAGCCTGGCTGAGCTGCAAGCGAGCAGGAGCATGTAGAACTACCGTACGCTCGATGGCATGTGTGACAGCAGCCCAATCACGCACTACCACGCCTCAGCCTCGATCGAGTTCACCGCCTGGAACGTCGTCGAGGGGAGATCAGGGTGGTGAGGCAGGTCGGTATAGCCGCAGCTCCGGTGAGAGACGCTGCCGCTGCAGCTAGACGTGGTGGTGAGCGAGGTGGGAGTGTATGTTTGGTGGTGGTGGTGGCGTTTACTACGTAGGTAGCTGTCTGTTCAGCCCTATGAGATATCGATATCGGTCCGCCGTTCCAGATCTCCGTCTCTCTCCGTCTTCCGTCGTCAACTTCGTCCGAGATGTTTATGGTGGTGGAATAATACAATATGCGATCGATACATACCTCAATCTGGCCGTGACTCATCAACTACAAGGGAGGGATATGCGCTCCTCTCAGCTCCGAGTCCCTTGTTCGGCTGTTGGATATGCTCATCCTCTTTCAGACCATTGTCCAATGCCGCGAACAGAACATGGCGTTACAGGGTACCGCTGAAGCCTAACTCCGCCCATGTCTCCCCTTTAGGTATCTATCACAGCTTTCTACTTACTACCTAGGTACCTCACGAGTCACTACCTTCACAAACAGTCATACGATATACCCCACAGTTTGCCTGAAAATGGCTCTAATTTTGCTGATACAGACACGGCGTCAGTGGAAATGTTCCTTCCAGCATTATGAGTAACAGCC